TAGTGCGTGGGCAGGACTTGGGTGCTGCTGGGGATGGATCGGGCAGGCTCAGAGCAACGGGATGCTGACGGTGTCCTAAAACATCCCTAAAAGGGATGCCAAGATTCACCAGTTACGGCTCTTTTTGACCCAGCGTTACAGGTATGAGGTGTGGTTTCCTGACACCTGTTAATTATAAGCATGAACTTCTGGGTGAAAATCTAGGCAGATACTGCGCACGCAGCACATATATGAACCCGTGTACCCAGTGTGTGCAAATGCTACTAAAATGTTTCCCTTTTCGGCCCATTTCTAGCAAGATTTTCAAAATTTAGTCAAGTTAGAAGGTTCCTTCTTGAAGGCAAATTGTTACTACCAGAGATTTTAGCTTAAAAAATAGCCCACACCCATCAGCATCCTCTGCCTCTCTTTTGGAGAAAAGTGAATTCGCGCAGGGAAAAAAGCCAAGGCAATTAAATTAAGTTGTAGCAGAACTTGGAGCCCAAGCCTGGGACGGAGAGATTTATGAGGCTGGAGACTTTACGTCATCCCATTTGAGACAGGAATCGGGATTGAAGATCAAGTGGCATCTCGGCTGCCGGTGGCGATCCAAGGAGATGGAAACTGGAGGAGTAAGAAGGTTGCTATCTGGGGTGGCATCTCTGTCACATCAGGCTATGCTATCAATGGCTGCCCCTGTGCCAAAACCTCTCAGTTTCTTAGAGAAGTCACGATAAAGGCAGTCACTAAAGATGAGAATTTCTCTTATTTTTTTACCGAGCTCAGCTGTGCTGCTTCTTTTCCAAGAAAATATGATATTTGCTTGAAAACATCGGCAGTTACGCAGTGCCTGGTGTCTCCGCTGGTGTCACAAGGAGCCACCAAGTTCATGTGCCACCTGGACCAGGGGGTTTGTTTCAAAAAAGTAAAAATAAGAACCCTAAGAGGAGGGAAGGGAGGAGGTCCAGCTCAGCGATGCTCAGCATCCCAGTGCATGCCCCAGCATGGCGGCTCCTGCTGAGCACTCCTCTACTTCTCGAAATTTCTTTAAAAAAGCCTTAAGGTTGCTTGGCAACAGGCGGACCCAGCGGTGCCAGCAGCAGCTGTGGCAGGTCCAGCAAGGCCCGGGGGGCTGCTGGGACCATCAAGGG